AGGCTGTAGACCTTGAGGACCCTCAATTAGAAAGGCCTGGATTACCCTGGGGAACAAGAGGGGGCAACAGGTGTCTGTCCAACTGACTTGGTTGTTTGGATGAGGCCTCCAGGGACCACTATTAATGTAACAATGAATAAAAGAAGAGGACTACTTGCGGGGTTGGTTCTTGGGAGGTTTCCCAGTTGATGAAAAAGTGACAGTCTGTGTGTCATACAATGGTCTCTTCTCAGGAATGTTTCAGAGTCTCAGGAGTGTTGAGGGCAAAAAATCTCCCCCCCAGAAAGGAGCAACATTGACACAAACAAGCAAAGGATTTTCAGTCAGTCACACAAGGCAAAGCACATCAGACTGGACCATTCTGATGGGACATCTCTTGGCTGGAGCAGATTCACATATCTCTGACATGTTGCTGAGATGACTAGATTTTAACGTCTCACCAAGTCTCTTAATTCTTCCAGCAATTTCTGAAAAGTTTTTTCTGATAAGGAGGAGACATGAATAACAAATGCCATGTTATTCAGGACAATGTTTTCTCAAAGTATGGTGAATCACTGTGTGACAACCCTCATCAAGACTTCAGCACAAAAAGAGCTGTTCAAACAAGATCCAAGAAAAATACTCCAAAATTCTAACCTCTTCAAAATGACAAGTTATGCTTCCAAAGAAGTTAGTAGATATTTTTCCCCTAAAAACAACATTTGAAGTTTTTGAAATTAGAATTTGAGAAATAACTTTGCATCTCAGAACTTAAAAAAATGTCTGTAAACCAAATATTTACAGAAATATTTTTAAGCTTCAATGTATAAATATAATTGCTTTATGTCCAACATTTGGTTTTGTGTGAAATTACAGGGTGGCTCATATTTCGAGTTCTTTACAATAAATTTGGGGCTTCTTTAGGTTTTTAATTACAGAAAAAGTTTTATTCAGATAAAGGTAAATGTTTAAAATTCAGCAGCATCTGCCAACATGCCGTGTTCCAAGTTAATGTGAAAATGTGTAATTTATAAAGTCTGATACAAACATATTGATATTTAGAGTGGGAGAGGAAGGAGGCACATGACTCTATAACTTAGAATTTAATAATTGAGCTGGATGGCAGAAAATCCATTGATCCAACTTCATATAAATATACCTTGCTGAAAAGTAAAGAAGGTTATGCAAGGTTGAATTCACTAACTTCTATCACATTTTTTTTCCCCCAAACAGAACCATTATCTATTCTTATTGCATTAAATTATAACAATGCCAACAATTTCAGGACAAAATTGTCCTGAAACATAAATTATAAGATAAAAGACAGAGAGTAACATAATACAAACTTAAAACTAATCACCGGTAGAAACAAAAAACATTTTGAACATGACAATTCAGACTGACTTGTTTATTAGGGGTCTAGCTACATAAGCAAACATAGATTTGCTTGTTTTATCATGCTTGCAGTCATTCCTTCCTGCAGCTCTGAGTACTGAAATGGTTTCTCTGAATCTGTGAAATCTGAACCTTGCTGAGCATTAAATTCTGATGCTCTCAGCTTTTATTCTTTTTTTTTTTTTTTTTTGCCAGTCACACTGTAGTTAACGCTGATGGTTCATTATTAGGTCATGTCTCAGCACAAACTTGCATCTCAGTGACCGTTGGAGTAAAAAACTACATATGTCAGTGTCTTGGAAGACAATTATGCAGTTTGCCTGCATGCTGACATAAACCGCATTGCAACGTTGATCATTATTCTGCAAAGTGCTTTTTTGACTCAGATTAGTCAGGACACCTTTCGACAAGAGGGGTTTAGATCCAAGGAGCGCCTGTTTCTTTTTTAAGAGAACAAAATCTTTAATCCTTGGAATGACCCAGAAACAAGTTGTTTTTATTTCATTTTATTTTGCATAGCACTTGCATCATAGTCCTGTGTATACTCATATTTTTTCAAGTCTCATTTTGATTTTGATTTTGTGAGTTTTTACTTGTGCAACAGCATTAAATACATGTAGTGTGCTCACAAGCTACAGTAAAACCTCTGTCATCTGTGGAAAAATAACATAAGCAACTTACTTTCAACTTCAATAAATAAGCTGTCCTCTAGGACTTGATTTGCTTAACAGACGTATCACATGATTGTCCATGAAAACTCTTTTTTTACATTGATTTAAAAAGGATGACCTTGTATTCTGAAAGGGACTTGTCACAAAAATACCAAAAATAGTGGAATAGAAAATTAGAAAATTGTCTAACTGTTAATATTGTAACAGTAAAACATTCATAATGTCTGGATGACCTTAGATCAGGGGTGGGCAATCCTGGTCCTCCAGGACCGGTTTCCTGCAGCTCTTAGACGTTTCCCTGGTCCAACACAGCTGAATCAAATAGCTGAATCACCTCCTATACGCAGTCAAGTTCTCCAGAGTTCTGCTCATGACCTCATTATTTGACTCAGGTGTGTTGAAGTAGAAAGACATCTAAAAGTTGCAGGAGATCGGCCCTCGAGGGTTGGAATTGCCCACCCCTGCCTTAGATAGTTAACAAGCACGCTCTACACATGCACATACCCATTTAAATGTACACTGAAATTTTTCCATGTGGAAAATAACCTAATGAGCAAATTTGATTTGATGTTAAATGATCTCTGCAGAACACACATCTGAGTTTGCACTTAAAGTCAGGTCATTATTATCACATTTAAACTGAGGTTTGAATGTGCAAATGGTGACTGACAGAATTACCTAGTTTTCTTGTTTTTTAAAAGTGATACTGTATGTTATAAACCAATATGGTTATATTAAACTTTTTTTAATGTCAGAATGAATAAAAAATGTGAGAATTTAGTAGACTGAAAAAATTTCTTAAAAAATAAAAAAAAAATAAATATCAATAACCTTTCTTGTTAATTTGCATAAATCCGACAGGAATCTCTTGTGTACTAAATGGTTATCAAAGAGTTTCCTGTGATTTCCTACCTGAATTATTTGCAGTTTTATATGTGCAGTACTTCAAGTTAATAACTCTTTTACACTTTAACATATGTGTTTCTAAACTAACTTACCATTTAAAAACAACAACAATTATAGAAGGCACATGGTATCTCTGGAGGAGCTGCAGAAATCCACCTCTCAGACAAGTGAGTCTGTAGTAAAACTCATTTAATTCCCATTTTGCCATTATGGAACACAGACATGAATGAAAGAATGTAGCCTGGTCATATGAAAGGAAAACATGAGCTTTTTGGCCTACTTTGGGAAACATTGTAAAGGAAAACATGAGCGCATCACGATGAAAGCATCATTCTAAGGAGATATTTTGTGTTTCACAGGCAGGTAAGTCGATCACAGTTGATTGGAAGATGAATGGAGGTAAATAAGGTGTGAACCTGAAAAACAAACTGTTAAAGACTGCAAATGTCTTATTTCGGTTAGTTTTTTTGTTTTTGTTTTTGTTTACCATTATCTAAACTGGATGGAAATCTGAAGCTGATACAGTTGAACAGGATGAAGTATTCATTAAATACTGCATGGTATGCAATGAAAACAAAAACAGAAAAATATCCCTCACAAAAATTATTAACATACATAACAAGCAGAAAAAATTGCCTATTGTGCATGCACGACATGCAGAAAGACAATAGGCTGGGACTCAAACCAAGGACCTTCTTGCTGCAAGGCAGCAGTGTTACCACTGTGCAACCTTACTTCTAAAAGTTGTATTTGCATTTTCGGAAAAACTTCGGGGGACAAAGTATAAGGAAGTTCTGTCCCCACTCTGTCACAATTTGGACCGGACAGTAGATTTTTGTTGCAAATTGAAACTAATTATTTTTATCACTCCAACATGAATAATTAAAATATAAAAGGCTACATAATCTTTTCCACCCATTGCTTAAATAATTTACCACTTTACTAAGTGTTAAAAAGCTTAAATGGATGTTCGTCTCCATGGGAGAATTGAACATTTAACTATGTTGAGATATACCCACCAAGCTGTCAGAGATGAACTAATATTATTGCTTTAAAAACAGCTGTGCTGTTTAGTGAAAGGGCTGATAGATGTTATGCGTGAGAAACAAACTTAATCTGTAATACTCTTGAGATTGGGGTGGAGAATAACCTTTAGGCAGAACACCATATTAAAGTATATTCATCACATAAAATACCTAAAGTCCAAACCTAAAACCATTCCTGAAAATGTAGATGGGTAACAAACCACATGCAGTGCGACTGATCTTGAACTATTTTCACAACAAAAATAGGCAAAATGTTGAGCATCTAGATGTTGAAACCTTTTAGAGATCCAAAACACTTGGCGCGTCAGCTCACGAGAACGTAATACAAAAATATCACATTTTTAAGATTTTATTTCCACCTCAAAGATAAAACTTCTCTTGAAGATAGAAATAACCAATCATGTTCTGCATTTTTGACATCAATCTTTTCAGCTTACAAAATATAAAAAATACTTTACTACACAAAAGGTGTAGTAATTTTTTTGTGCTTTCCTAATTAACTGGACAAAATTTGTGGACAAAGTGATTGTCTACCTATGTGGTCTTCTTATATTTAATATGCAGAAGTTGTTGATGACAGCACATCAATGTTTGTCCTTAGGGATGTTTTTTTTTGGCTGCAAAATCATCTTGTGTGAAGAAACCATTGTGAAATCAACACCAAACATGAAGCGACAGCCATAATTTTCTCATCAAAAATTAATAATGACAGCACATTGTGTCAATCAATTATCTCAAAACAGTGTGTGGCTGTTGGTTATCAATTTGATGTGAGCCTAAAATTAAAGAGTATTGTTTGAACAGATATGTCAGACCCTCATGTAGGCAAAAAACAAACAAACCAAGAAAAAAAATAAATACATCATGCATTAACACTACAAAAGCAAGGACCTTTTATAACAATAGAAAGCCAAGACCGAGGTGAAGAAGCAACAAGCTGACCTCACCTCATTTTGATTCTCTTACACTGCCCCATTTCCAGCAACAAAGCACACAGAATAGGTTTTGTTAAAAACAAAATTGTTTTATTTTTTGTCTCCCTCCACTTGATATCATTTTCCACTTTGTGGATTTTGAAAAAAAAAAAAAGGAAAAAAGATACCAACAGCAATGAAATAAAAGTAAAAAAGACAGAATTTGCAGCTAAATAAAAAAAATACAATCATCACTTTACAGCACAGAACAACTCTCAGGTTGGAAAACAAATGTTTTGTTCCTTTCATTTTGTCTTGTTTGTTTACATTGATAACATCTTTAGGAATGTAATAAGAACCTGCAAACCAGGTGTATGTTACGAATGAAACAACCTGCCCAGTGGAGCTTAGAACACAAACACGCAGATGCACACATACTGCTCAGAAACAAGGCCCTTGGAATTATTAATGGTTAATGCACACTTTAACATGCATCACTGCAGTCCTTGTGCTAGTTTACACACAATGCATCTCTAAAAAATGCAAAAAAGTGGGCAAACCTGTAGAAAAAAGGGGTGCGGGTGGGGGACCATTTTCTCAGATCGTCTGCACAAAAAACTAATTCAGATGGTAAAGAATAGAAACATGGAGAGATGGGTTTTTACATTCAACATTAAGTCAGCTTATTCCAGCAATTTTACACAACAGGAGTCCTCAAGTAAAATTTGTTATCGGATTTCAAATAAGACGTTTTCCTCTTTCTATTCAAAGCAGTAATTTCTGTCCGGAGGCTCACAGCCCTCTTACTATCTTCTCATGTATCCCAGATTCCAGCATTTTACCCTGCAGCTGTAACTTCAGCTTACCTTGGTTTGCAACATAACTGCTTTTCTGTAACATGACTGCAATATTAATCAGCACAAAAATACCAGTTGTGACTGAGTTGTGGAGAAAAAAACCCCAAAACAAACAGACATCCACCTTCTTTTTTTTTTGTCTTTGTTAGTTCTTGGTGTTGCAACCAATATTTACTCATCGGTTGATTGACAAGGAAAATGCAACGCGTAGGACGGTTATTCACAGAGGCCAAGTAATGGTGCTCTCTCTGTGTTGAAGATGCGAGGTGGGCGACTTAATGACTAGAAAGACGTGGTGGGCGAGATTCCTGCTTTTGCCTGCCTGAATGTTGCCGTCGCCCAGCTGGTGGACTGTGGCATGCTGTTAATTAGACCAATGCTTCTGCTCTGTGGCCCAAAGTCTTTGTTAAGAGAGGAATCTCTGCCTGCCTGTCACTCCAATCCATGCAATCCATCAATCCATTGCAGTTTTTCCTCGTCTTGTTGACACCCAACAGGCAGCATACAGGGGCACACGTTAGCTGCAGTAATGAAACTATATTGCGTCTTAATAAACTTGCAACACTGACTTTGCCCATGAGAATGGAATGGGCCTCCGGATAGCTGGTAAACAATGGGTGATTGGGATAATATATGGGAATTAGGCGTGCTTTGCAGTAAAGGACATGAGCAGGGGATTTGGAATAATGATATTGATTCATATGCAATTATCACGCTGGTGTAGCATATCCTTTTGGTATACTGCCTCTAGTTGCTATGAGACTATGCTGCAGCTCACAAATGAAACTAATCTGTTACACATAATTTATTGTTCTTGTGGTTGTCATCCTTATATTGACATAATAGCACATGCAATTTTATAGAAAGGCTATGTACCAAAACAAGCAACAAAAATACAAGACTGCATTTACTTGAAATGGAAAACTAATGATTAATTCTTTATTTCCCTGGATTTGACTCATGCTTCTGAGTACATAGTTTACCAAGCTGACATTACAGCTTGCCCAAATAGTTTCAGAAAAGGGCCTAAAATCGATGTGCAATTAGGGGTGTCTTGTATCAGGCATGATGAATAATGCTCTCTGCTCTAAGGCTGGGTTATGGACACTTGATCAATCCAGTTTCTGAGGCTGGGGAGATATTGCTCTATTTCAAAGCTGTTCAGTCAAATATATTGATTAACTATTGTGTTGAGGATTGAAAGTCTATTCCAGAATTTGCTTTGAGCAGCAAACCTGCTGTAAAGAGGAGATATGCAGTAAGCCCACTACCTTGTATTAAATTATGGATATATTCATGTTCTATCAGATTTATTTTTATATTTATTGTTTTACTACACTGATTTTATTTGCACCATTAAGCATTTAAATATGCTATCCTCTTCTAAAAGCACATTCCTCTGAATATTTTACAATTCTCTTCATACAACATTACTGATATGCTAAACATAAATAAAGATCCAATAAATCTATTCATTTCATATTCTTTGACCAAGCATTTATGTGAAACAATTGTGAAACAAATACAGCTGTTAAAATGCACTACAATGCTACAAACAGTAAACAGGCTGAAGTTTTGTAACACCTTATTTAGAATGACTCTGGAAATAGATCATCATAACCTTCAGCTACAGGAGCCAATCAACACTTTCTCATCAGGGTACGCCGAATGTAATTAGGGGCTGAAGAATCGTCTTGTTTATATCACTGTAAACGCATTGCACCCCACTTGGAGTGTTATTTACACACTGGAAATAGGCCAGACTGCATTTGTGATCAAGGCTATGTTAATGATGTTCATATTACATGGTGCAAGCATAAATAGAATGTGCTACACCTTCCCCTGGGGGGGACCACGACGCTGAAGTTTGGAAATGCAATTTGATTGCTTGTCTGTCTTCCTTCTCACAATGAAGGGTTCACTGTCTGGTGAGTGTCATTGCATCTCCCTCCAGCTATGAACTTTTGGATTTGCATTCTCAGGATATCATCCCACGGGATCATCCGGCTGGTTGCTCCCTCGGCAGGAACTTCATCTACCCTTAAATTTTATACCCCAGGCATCTTCTTCCAGCTTGACAACCGTCTCTGCAGCCTTTATGCCATAATAAGAGTGTGAATCATGTTTGGCTGTGAGCAAAGATATGTGCCTGATTATATATAATAACATTGTCAAATTGCTTCAAAGAGGCCTGTCATTATCAACCTGTTGCTCAGTAGTTAATACTAAAGATTAAAAAAGAGGTTAGCAATGAGGAAACGAGGATCTCTGATAGAAGGAGTGGCAACCCCGAGAGAAGCAGGAGTTTAAGGAGAGTGGTGGTTTCAGTTTTATCTGAAACTGGATTATATGAAGAGAGTTTGAGCAATTAGTATTTTGTGGAAATAGTAAAAAATACAACATTTGCTTGGCAGTAATGAACAAGAGAGGCAAGATCCAAGGAGATTAATTAATTTTATGCTTTCCATTTTTGGAAAGCATAAAATTAGCGGTCCATGCTAAATGGTTGGACATATAGCATGGACTGCTGGCAAAGCAACTTTGTTTCCAGAGTTTTTATGACTTCTTGTGGTATAAAATCAGATGTTACATTGGTTTGACTACTAATTTTGATACTTTGTCACTTTACCTTTAGTTAGTCAGTTACCTTGTAAGGTGAAACACTCTTAACACATAAACAAAAAAAATTGGCTAAGGAGGAAACTCACAAATGATCTTATGCGAATAACTAAATAAAATAAAAATGTCAGGAGTGTAAAGGTGTAAAGAATGACATTTAGCTGTTGTAAAATGTTTGAGATTGAAATTGCTCCATTAGAACCAGTACTGTTCTGATAATTTGTTAGCACGTGCTGTTGGCACACCTTGATTTTTCAGTCTTCTCTGAAATATACCATTTAGAGAATTCTGCTGCAAGATAATGACTGCCTTCATGAAGGCTGGAAGAATGATTTAATCCCAGTTTTACTACACTAAAGCATTCTGAAAGTTCTTAGTCTGATACCAAACCCAGGTACCATTGTAATGACCTGCAAACCTTGTTTTGCAAGGGAAGAAATATGGCTAGGACCCATATTTTCTGCTTCTACAAACAAAGGTGTCCATTATTTTTAATTAAAAATCCAAACTAACCAACTCAAAAATATAAACACACCTATAAGCATGCTGTCAGCATGACGCTAAATGTCACTCCTGCAAGATATCAGCCTCTAATAACTGAATCAATGAGCCTAGAAAAATTTATGAAATCTAAAGTAATTCAAGTAAGGTTTCCAAGTTGTAAAACCTAATATCATATAAAAATGTATTATGGTGAAATGGGAGAAATATTTCAAACCTTGAAATGCTTAAATTCAGTTTTAAGCCTGTTTTCAGACCTTTCACCATTAAACTTGAACATAACAGACACAATTTGGTAGTTCTTTTTTTTTTTTTTTTTCAAAATCCACCCATTCACAAATACAGACATGCTATTTTCAAACACACACTGACAAACATGACAGTATGTTGTTTTCTTGTCCACAGTTTTTTTTATCTTCTTTTTTATCTTTATCAACAACAGATTATGTACAGACAGATGCTATGGGCCACTGATAACCCTCAGTGGGAAGCTGACGCAGGACAGAAAGTGACTGTAAAAAAAAAAAAAAATCTTCTAAAAGACAGTAAGAGATTAAAAATACTGGCAATAAATGTTTCACAGACCAAATGACCTGTTATTGTGCTTGAAATGGAATCCATCATTGTTTTGGGAGCAAGTAGTTGCATGCACAATATGTGTTCTTTAACACCCAAATACATCGCAGAGGAAACGACATATAGTGTCCTAGATTAAGGGCCATTTAAACAGAGCTTCACAATCATTTCCAAGGAAAGTACACAGTAAAAGTACAACAACAGACTTTTGATAGAGCTTGTTAATGGCAGATCATTTCGGAAATTACACCACAGATTTGACCATGATGGAAATCTCTTGCACAGTAAAATTAGGGGTTATTGCTGATTTGAAAAAGAAACAACAAAATAAACAAATAAACAAACATACAAAGAAAACACATTCACACATTTGATTCAGTATTGAGTAATTCCCCTGTCATGTTGTAGTAGTCAGGGTTCAGCTGGGGTAGACTCATCCCTTGGTGCGCACTTGCTATGGCAAATTTGCATATAGTCTCTGAGTGTGAGCTGAACACAAGAAATGGGTGCAGGCATGACGAAATACGGGATTTCCTCTTGCTGTTTGTGCTGTACAGGGTTTTTTGTCACAGGTACACACACCAGAGAGAGTAGTGGTGCACCAAGGTGAGATTTGTCCTTGAAGAGGATTCCTGTCAGTGGTAGGATTGAGCTTGATTTATGGGGGCCATAACTGAGCGGTGGAAAGGACAGGTGGAGCTCGGGCTCCTTCGCTCAGCCAGCCACAGGTAATGGCTAATTACATCTTTATCTCCCTGTGGTCTGGCAGAACAAGAACTGACTTACAGCCACAGCCAGAGAACGACATGGATCCAAATCATTTATCTAGATGGTCGGTAGAGGACACACCATGACAAGCGGACAGATGTGGTGTAAATGTGTGTTTGATGCAGTTAAAAGCATGACAGAAAGAGTCAAATACATAAACTGCTACAAATTATAAATTACACCACCAGCCACCGCTTCAGGACCCGATCGAAATGACCCCCTCGAACTGTTTCAAATGTGATTTTAAAAAGCTTGCCATGGCAAAATAGACCACATCACTTCAAAAACTTTACACCTTTTTTTGTTCTGTTTTTCTTTTTATCTTCATTGAAGTTGTTCAATGTGTGCGAGCAAAGTAGAAAACATTTCTATTTTTTTCTCCCCACGCACAACTCATTACCATCGTATTTTGTTTGTTTTTTTTTCTCTTTACATGGAATTACTATTCGTAGTTATTCAAATACTTATTAACATCATCATCATTATCATCATCATCAGTAGTAGTAGTAGTATTAACACCAAAAAGTAAACGCAGTAAAAGCAGGTAACCTTGCAGAGAAAAAACAGACACAGTGCAGGGAGGGAGAGAGGGCGTATGGACTCACAACAGGAACATCTCTAACCAGTACATGCTATCAACAAGCGACAAAGAGGATGGAGCAGCAACAGCTTTGAAACAGAAGATATTATTTGTCAATAGACAGTCTCTTGCTGCTTCAGAAGACTTAAATGTAGTAGAGGCTTACTGAAGATCTTATGGAGGCAACCTGAAGTCACCAGCATGGCCTCTGTGCTGCACATATTTACAGTGGAGGGATGAAAAGCAGGTGACGATGAATGGCAGGATCGACGCACAGCTGAGAACACTAGCAATATGAAGGGCAACTAGACAAAGCACTTTAAACAGAGAGGCAAGGAGGAGGGTGGAGGGACTTAAAAAGGTTTGGGTAGTGAGGGCTACATGCGAAAACTTAGTATAAACCTCCCCAAATTACATAAAGAGGACAGGCGCCATCACCACCCATCCTTTTTTAATACATTTTGACATCATTCATAGCAGCTTCACTGCTACACTGGTAAAATAAAAATAATAATATACAAAAAAAACATACATGTGTCTGCACTTGGTTTAAGTGTGTGATCATAGAGTGAAACTTCACATGACAGCCAGTATCACATTATAACTATCATTTCCATAAATACCCACCAAAATATTGTGATTCCATGTATTATTTCCATAAGGCAAACATTGTAGGTCAGTCAATAGTCTGTGTTTTATATTACATAAATGACCATACAGTTGTTAGATTATCTATTTTCTTGTTTGTCGCCGTCATCGTTAATATACACTTTCTATCAGCTTGACCTCAGTGGGAGTAATGGGGGAAAGCAAAAGGCGGCGAGGGAAAGTACCAAGTCAGACAAGTCTGCAAGGCGAAAAGGACAAATTGTATGCGTGAAAGAGAAACAGAAGAAAGAGATATTGTGACTAAGTTGAATTCATAACTGAACGGAAGGTGCAGGGGAGGGAGTTTCAAGGGAGTAGTCGTGTTTGATGCAGTGATTCAATGGCTCCTGAAATAATGCATATTCTTTTTGTTCACAGTGATGGGTTCGTAATTAAAGAATTTCATTTCCGTTTTCCTTCCTTTGAGAGAGGGGAGAGAGTGAGACAGAGGGAGCAGAGGAAGAAATGGGGCTTGGTGTTTGAGGATGATTCCAGCAAACAGAGCTTCACACTTTCATCAGAAGAACAGCAGAGAGGGAAACCCAAACACACAGGCTGGCACTCATCCCTGCATGTAAACCAGATCCTCGCCCCTGGAGGGCTCCTGGTCCTGGATAGAGAAATAGGAGATTGGAAAAGAGGGCCGGGAGACAGGTGAGGGAGAAAGAAAAAAAAAAGAGGTAAATTTGCTATCATTTCCAACATGAGTTCCTAAAGATCACTAGCTCTTACATCCATCACAATTTACATCAAGATTCTGAGATTTTTCACACATGACTAAATTCATATCGATTTGTAATCTGATTTATGGTAAAAACATATTTTTCTGGCTGTTGACTGTGTGCTGATTTATTAAATGATAAAACCGAGTACCCATGCTTTTTGGATGTGTCACTGGCTGAAGCTTACCAATTGAACTTCTACATTTTCATGTAATTGTAATGGAAAAAAAATATATCTATATCTATATCTATAGATATAGATATATATCTATATATATAAACATATATAGATATCTCTCTCTATATATATATATTTCTATATTGTTTGGCTATAAATAGCCAGTTTGCATACATTTTATTCTATATGTTGACAAGTGCAGGTTACACAGTGACAATTCTATCCATCACTCAAATTCCTCCCATACAAAGCTTAATACCAATGACCTAATGATTTTTACATGTTGCTTACCTACATGACATTTCATGACCATGATAAGCCACGGCAGTCATTAATTTCACTTTGATGCATCTTTGTTAGACACATGAGATGAAAAAGGTGACCTTAATGTCCTGATCTAATAATTTGAACATGCTGAATTCCACGTCATGAAAGCACACATGAGGCTTGTCATTTTAACTCATCAAGCAACATTCATTTGACATCTGTCAAAAAAATAACGACATTGATTGCTCTGTGGCAATTTTAGTTATCCCAGTGAGGTATTATACCATGTCAACATCTCCATAACCGTGCCACATCAGACAAAGGCCACCAGAGTAAATACAAAAAAAAAGAAAAAAAATAAATCTTCAAAAATAATTTTTTATTGGAGGGAGAAATGTATCCAAGCCATCCTGACACTCTGTGAATATATAATTCAATCATGAATTAGCTGTTGACAACCTTCGTAGGAGTTTAAAGTTTAAATCTGATCACCAAGACCAGAATACTGACTGCTACACAAAGGAAGCTGAAGATCTGAAAAAGCTACACATTAATTAGGTCTCTGTGATCACTCTGTGGAATGTCAGAGTGTGTTATTATCAAAAACCAGGAGAAAATATTGTACAGTGATGAGCCTTCTAAGAAGTGGCGGCAAAGATCGACTTCTAAAGAACAATTTAGCCTTATTTGTCTCGACTAAAGGTGACCTTGATTCTTTCTTGAACAGGTTAGGTCTATGCAAAATATGTTTTTGTGCAGTTTTTGCACAAAATAATTCTTAGATAATGAGATTTTAGTCTCGTCAGTTCTGTCTATTTAGAGCTCCTTTCAGAATGAGCTGATTCAGAGGCTCTTGCCAGACAAAACACATGTTGTTTCCAGCAGGCATTGTACAGCACACAGTGGTAAAACCAGCTGAGCAAACATGCTTGAGCTCCACTTGGGTTGCTTGGTAACAGGCTGGGCTCAGCTGGGATTTCTAGGTAACAGCATAAAATCAATCAGTTATGAGTCAACAATTAAGAGGTTTTTGAAATGGGCAATTTTCCAGAGGCCAAAAAAATAATAGATCCCTTTTTATGTCAATTTTACTTGAGTAAGTGAAGAGAAATGGCATCCAAGAGAGATTTTCAGTACACAAAGCTAACAGAACATAATCTTTTAAAATCAGTTTCTTATATCTTACCTCGTCAACCTTAGTCTGCCCAAAATGAACATCTGATAGACTTAAATATCCTGTACTCTTCTTGGTGTACTGTTATTTGTCACATCTCATTTTTCATTAACATCATTTTTCAGTCTGTATTGTTAAACTTACAACTAATTTTGTATCTTCCTTTCATGAGTGATTTTACTCATAAATTGGGACACTAACAGCTTATGTGAAAGTAAGCCTTGGAAACATCTATATGTTAGCCAGCAGCTAAATCTGGTTCTGTGCAGCTCTTTCCCTGTGAATGTATGTCACTGTGTGATTCAGAATAAATTAACATCAAATTAAACAATGTTTATTTATATCATTGTGCCAAAAAAACCCGACTAGTTGTGCTGAAATTTTAACAGTCCATTTAATCTTTTGTCAGATTAATAAGTAGACCATAACTGTTCAAACCTCCTTTTTTTAATAATTGGGTGTTTAGGTCAGCAATCATCATTTGGATAAGCAAGTTGATTCTATTCTCCTTAGAAGTGTTCAGTAATTAAATGCACTGCACACAATCTAATGTAGAAATTATTTTCATTTCAGTTCGGAAGAGGTTAATGATGGTGTCTGAGTTCACAGTATGTGATCAATGTTGAGTCAGATTCTGACATAGAGCAAAAACACCACCATCCAAAAAAAAACAAGCTGCTGACCATTGAAAAACTGTTTTGCTGGTTTGCTCAGTAGGAGGAAAGAAAAACTGCAAAGCTAATCACCCAGCTTTTCTTGATGGTATTGATTCTTGATTATTCTCGATGGCTTGGTGTAATTGTAAACTTCTTATAATTTAAAATAACATCTATCAAATTTATCCATAGGTAAAAGTAGACAAGGGCTAATATTATTGTTTATTATGTTATATTGTTGCACCTCAAAACAGATTGATGTTTGTTGTATTTTTATTGGCAGTAATTTCTCATTGTCAAGAAAACTGTGACTGATTGAAGATACTCTGGAAGAGTTTGAGTGCTATAGAGTACAACTTTTTAATGAATCCAAGACTGGAGATTCTTTAAAGTTTTGTTTTATTTTACTAATTTAATTATAAAATACAGGTATGTAGAAGCCTAAATACTGTTATTTTCTGTTCATGTGCTTGGCTCACTTTGTTTATTCAACAGTTGTTTTGGGTAGTGATAATTTGTGTTATGGTTTTGAAACTCATTAAAACATTTTATGATATAATCATGATTACTGTTTTAGTTTGTTTTATATTTTTATTAGTTTTCTTTCCTGAGTGCTTCAACTTAACATGTTTAATGTCATCATGACCTGTTTTGGCAGGAGGGTACAAAAGTTTGTGGTATATTTGAAAATCATCTAACAGATTAGAAATTTCTTCCAAAATAATAATGTTGAGTGCATCCACAAAGACACAGCTCTGTGCTCCATATGCTCAATCATTACATAAAAGCAATAATTATAATGTGAATCACTTCAATTACCATGCTTCATTATGAAGGGACTTTGTCTGTACTCTCCTTCTTCTACCAGGCAGATTTTTAGTTGGAGCAATATCTACTTTTTGAAAATTAGACTGGTAGTGAGTGAATGCTGAAGGGAGAACATTTCTCACCTTGAACTTGTTTTTTGAGGATGTACCCAGGACTACACTTTATGCTCCTTACAGCCAGAGAAAAGTTTGGACACTCCTGAACTTTCTCTGGTATATCCTATAAAAAACTTTAAATTCATGGACATGGATTTAGCATTTTGGAAATCTTGATACTGATAACCAGACTATAGCTACATGTAGGTAAAGGAACTTTTAACAAACACACTGGTGTGATATTATTTAAGTGGCATTACTCAGATCTTTATTCATTTAGACTTTTCAAGAAACAATTGAGAACATGAATGCTTAGGAGGTATCTACGATAACTAAACAAGCATTAAAAATACTAAGTACAAAAGTTAAAACAGAGCAGACAAATGAAATGATAACATCTCACACATTTTTTTTTTGCTCTCTGTGTCTGAGGCTTAATATGAAGGATCTATTGTAACCCCAAGAGTCTTCACACAAAGCCACTGTTTAGTAGATGTATTTCTCTAGAAAAACAAGTCATTATTTTTTATGTCACGAGTCAGCAGTAACATGTTTTTTGAACCAGAGGTGTGGATAACACTTTACAGGCTAAGCTGCAAACCCCTTAATTAACCCTTTGTATTCATATTGTCACTTGTTTTACAGTTTACAGAGATATAAGCAGGTGATTTATACTGTAGCATATGAGTGTAAAGTGAAAGCAAGCAGCGACTGCCACTGGTCTATGTAATGGACTCATCGACAGAGAATAATTACAATAATGTGCCAATTTTGACATCATTGAGGGGTTGCTGATGTTGAAATATTGCATTTGGTACCTTTAAAATGGTGAACAAAGAGGTATAATAGCAGACAAATTAAGTCAGGTGAGGTAAAGACAGTGAGGCTCGAAACGTGAACAAAAAATCCACAAAAGGATTCAGATTATGGCCCATTGCTGGTTGAGGAAAGAAGTGGGTTTGTTGTGTTCTAATGATAGCAGGAGAAGATTAGGAAAGAAAAAGGAGGCAGAAGGACAGATGATGGAGAGATAGGCTGACAGAAGTGACTGTGGCGGTGAAAAAGAGAGCAGAAAGATGTATGGGTCTGGCAGAGGAGTGAGTCATTGAAGGGAGACTGGACGAGATAATGGGGAAAGGAATGGAAGAAGAAAAGGGATAGATGAAGGACTCACTTAAGATGGTAATGCCAAACGCACTAAAGGGAGGGTGATGGGAAATGGAAGGGTAGGAAATCGCTCATTGGGGACGGTTAATGTGAATTGGGCTCTGAGAGAAATGACAACTTCTTGGGTAACAGGACAGAACAGAGCGACAGTCTGTGTGTACAGGCGGGTGTGTGAACAGACGAGCGATGGCAGGGGAGAGAGCGCACAAAAAGAGAAAGAGGCTGTAATATAGGCAAGCAAAGCTTTAATGGGGCGGAGAATAACGTAAATGGGAAGAAGGAGGGAGTGTAAAGGCTCAGTGAAGGCTGTGCAGTGTGCAGAGCAAAAACAGATTTGGAATATTTTCGCAGCAGACAGTGCTGTCTAACTCCGGATAGTCACAAAAGATAAATGTGAACATATTTGACAAAAAAAAAAAAAATCGATACGCTTCCACACCTAGGTTTGTGAGATGTGTGTGATAACTTACGAAACAGCAGCATACTGGCGTTGGAGGAACCCAGACGGTTTGAGGCAAAGCAAGTGTAGTTGCCAAAATGTTTCTCTGTCACATTGGTAAACAGCAACAGCGAGCGCGTCTTCTCGTTTTTGATCCGTAAGGTGTTGTCATTCTCCACTGGCCTGGGTTGTGTGCGCAAAAGCAAAGAAAGGAAAAAAGACAGAAACAGGATGACAGTCTATTTAGAGAAATAGAAAGAAAACCCAGCATAATATCACACCTCCTGATTCAGTCTGCTGAGAAGAATACATTACTTTGTCATTTGACAGGTTTGCAGCATAGTCTCTAACAATTATCTTACTTTGTAACAGCATTTAGGCAGCTTTTGGCAAACTTTAACCAGGACTTCCAGGCTGAACACATCACAAATTCTCTTATTTTTTGAAGGCAACACATTAATTTCTCTTGACTAATTATTACTAATGACTAATGCTTTATCTTAACCTATCACATAAAATAAGGTTGTATTGTGTCAAAATATGTGAGAAAGGTCAAGGAGTTTGAATATTTTTCCACATCATGGTACTTTTGATACATTTTTTTCTTAATTAATTCTCTCTTTTGTTTTATTTCCAGGCAATTGGGCATGTGCATATGGATTCATACATTTTTTTTAGATTACTGTCACAACATGCACGGACAGTTTGATTTTAAAGCATTTCTCAAGCAAAAAATAAAATAAAAAATGTCTGTGTCCCTGTTGCTCAAGGGACACTGCCTTGCATGTTTTAGGTGTCTTCCTGCTTCACCTGATTCAATTGATGGCTGGTTAACGGGCTTTTACTGAACTGCAATCATCTGAATTGAATATTTTAAAGCAGAGAAACAAATAAAACACACAGTGCAAAATGAAATAAGGAGTAGGGTGGGGAAATGCTGACATCATCTATGTGTCTAATAGGAAGTCTTGGAAATAACAACCATTTGTTTTGCAATATAAAATGTCACAGAAGATTCTGAAATCTGTTCTTCTGCTTTGGTGTTTGGTAACAAATGATTATGAGGAAATTTGAAAAAAAAAAAAAAACGTATTGCAGCAAATTCTTATGTTGTTATATGTGCTCTTTCACTTCTAAAATGTTCTTAAAAAGACACAGCTGTTGTAGTCACTGCATTTTTCAGGGATTTTTTTTTAATCAGAGATACCACATAGCATGTGTCCAAAAATGTGAACCCCCTCATAAAAAACAGCACTACTAAGCTTTTAGGCCTTCTTGATACTCAAGTTTAATATAAATGCTACAGTTCTGTATCATGAATACAACCTTGTTCTCAAGATTAACTTTCAAACAGAGCCTCTCAAAATCATTTTACTTACAAGGTCACCAAACCAGTGCTGAGTCAGCTTGACATCTCTGTTCACCAAAGTTTAGGTTGAATTATATGGATAAGCATTCCTTTCAATTACTTACTCTGTGTTTTTATCAAAAACAACTTATTCTCATCAGAATCAACACGCATCTTGTAGAAATTAGACTATTACTCAAAGTTAATGAAGTCTACAGTGTTGTAGCAACTCATGTAACTCCTTTAACTGTGCATACTTAATTTACTCTCTTCCTGCATCTAAATCAGTGTAAACAAAGCACTCACATTTTTTATGTCACTTTTTTTCTGTCATCATTAAGCAGGGAATTGTTGTGGGCTCATGAACCCATCATTCTAACCCTCTGAGAAATTTGATGCCTAAAAGATGTTTAACAGACATTCACAATGGCTTATTTGCATTTAGATATTGAGTTAAGATGGAATACATTATATCCTGGCGACATCACAAACAAACTTAATTTTTCTGAGCATTCATCCTATTAATGCTCTATGTGTCACCAGCTTGTTTCCACATTATTTTAGCCACAATTCCATAAGGGAAGAATTTGCTGACATATTTAGTGACTCTTGTAAAGACAAAAACTAGGCCCAAAAGACAAGTGTTATTCAAACACATTGGTGCTGTCTTAACAACATAACTGTGCTCCTTAAAAATAACTGACTTACATTTAATGTAAAAAAAAAAAAAAAAAGCACAGATTTTGTTTTTACATAATTGTAAGCTTTTCTTAATAACCTTCTAAAAATCCCAACTACTTGTTATTGCCCGGACCTTAATATATTAACATTTAGCTAATAACATTGGTACAATTCTTTTTTCAATTTGCATGTAATAAGAGTAATTAGAGAATGCTGCAATCTAATATAGTTGCATAAACATTGTAGCTATACATTATCAATTGAACTTAAGCCTCTTAGCATTTTCTGACATCAATAAACATAAATCTGAAAAGATTCACCATCAAATGAACTTGTAGAGCAGTTTAAAGCTGGATTATCTTGAAAAGCAGCACCGCTTTTATTATCTCAGTGCATCATCTAAATATGAAAAGATTTTCAAACAGCTACAATCAAGACATGACCTTCCTGAAGGTCAAGAAAAGCAGTAATCAGAAAAGCATGCCTGTGGAATCACAGGAGGAGCTGCAGATTTTCAGTTATACAGGTTGACTTTTAGCTGTATCTATTCCAAATTTGGCCTCAATGTATCTGTATCTGTGAGAAGTACCCTGTTTTTGAGTGAAAGTCATAAGAAATCCTATCTACCACAAGCCATGTAGGGGGCAAGGAGCAGAAAAGGACTGAATATGTGAGACAAAAAGTTCCTTTTTGGCATACAGACAAAATTTTATATGTGATCGATAACTAACACTCCTTTCCAGTGCAAGCCAAACATATATTTCTGAATAAATTTTTTATAACAGATGTAAAGTATGAAGCAATGTCACCACATGAAAGATGTTTCAGAAAGTCAGACGTGTCAAAACTTAGATTAGGTTATGAAGAGTATTTATCAAAATGGATCCATGCAGAAACTAAAAGGTTTTATAGTGGTTTCATATGGTCATTAGGAAATAATCTCAACAACCCTGACCTATTTGCTCTGAAATCTCTGGTAACCTTACCTATGATCATCTCTGTACCACTCAAATGTAGCTGGTGGCACTGCCATTGCATCACACCTCAAGATGGCTGTCTTCCCTAGATTTGCAGGCATATTCTTCATGTCTGTGATCATCGGAGGATCTGGTGGAAAAGAAAAAAGGAGAACAATAAAATCAGCAAGAGATAATTCAGTAATTAGAACACACCACCTTTTACTGAATAATCAAGTCAGGTCTGATGGGGGTTGCGTACAAGGCTGAAAAATACCCACAGAGAATGAAATTAAAATGTGTAGAGACTAATGCAGTCACAACATTAACATATATCATTAATACATAATTATGCACATGAGGTTGAGCTGGATTATGACCACTGGGCTTTTGTGTCCTGCAAACAGAGTTGTACTTACAGTTTACCGTGACTCTGACCTTCTGCTGGTCAGGTGGAGCCACGCCGTTGTGGGTAATGCATTCATAGTCCTCAGCCTGCTGCCTCTTGATCTCCGTGATATCCAAAAACTCCCCCTCACTCACAAGTCCATCTAATTACAGAAAGGGTAAAGTCAAAGGTCACAATACATCAAATGCAAGGCAACTCAGTCTGCAGATTTACGGCTTACTACTTGAAGTACAGCATACCCCCTTCTAGCTTTAGACAGTTTAAAAGCATGCAGAAGGCCAACACGGAAATAACTGCAAATGAAGCATCATTCAATTCTGCTGGGGAATATTAATATAGAAAGATGGGGGATGTGATGGAAATCAATATCATGATAATTAAAGCCGTAATGACATGATGAAACGGATGATAATAAATTTATCAACAGACACTAATGAAACATTTGTAATGAAGAAAAATTGATCATATTGCAGTTTTTGCCAGCGGCCGTTTTGACAGCGACAGAAAATAACTAGACTGGTTTATATAGAAAAACTAACACTCTCTGACGTAAGTGTCACTATTACTTTTGAAATGCCAGGGGAACTTGGACACTTTTCAACAAACAAATGGATGAGCCGGGTGTAATAACTAATTCGCCACATTACATGGTGAGAAGACTATTTGGCGGTTGTTTGATGTTGACAAACTCTCAGGTGCAGCTAAAACCAAATTAGTCAGTCTAGCATTTTTCCTCGGGCGACGAACATCTCTTCAGAGGTGGAGAGTCGAGGGAATAGACTGCGAGTTATTGCTCCTTCATGTGGCGGGATTTGTTGTTATTGGCTCGACTGTGACAGAGACTGAGACAGAAAAAACAAAGGACGAGACTGACGGTGCACTCGTTCCATCCAGTCAGCCTCAGCAGCCAGCTGTCTCTTAGCCCTTAAAACCATCAGGCCTACTTTTTCTTCCTCTTTAACCAATTAAAGAAGCCAGACTGTGTGACACAGCATAACATATAACCTCACAGTTAACAAGGAAATCCATCTATTAATTCACTACTTTCCATTTGAACCCTCCTCTAAGGAATACAAACAAACATAAAATTCCACCAATCTACTGTCAGTCTGTAGACCTTTAGCTCCCGTCATGAACTCTGCAGCAGGAAATTTAAGAACAACACTGACACACAAACACCAAAAAGACACTAAACGCTACAATTATTCCTGTCAGAGATTAGCGCTGCGCTTCTAATTGAAGATTATGCTGGAGGATTATTAGGGAGGCTACTGAGCTGGAGACGATCCATCCTGGCTGAGCGGAGAACGCCGACACTATGACGAGTGCATGTGCCACCCGAGAGATGGCAGGCAGACGCTAAGTGTTGTGGTTGGGCTGTTGCGATGTTATTCACTCATTCCATTAGTGAACAAAGTGCATGGTAGGTCTCTTGTGACATCTTTTTTAAGCAGACAGAAACAATATAAAAATAGCATCATCTCCATCTATCCCTTTTAAAAAAGCAGACTTATTTTATTAAAAAACAAACAAAAATTATTATTGCATCACACCTGACAAATCACAGCAGAGCATCTTTCTTCCTTTAATGTGACCTAAAACATATGCATTTCAGCTCAAATATTTTCGGAACTTAATGATCGAGTGAGATAAGCAGAAAAGATGCCCTCAAAATCGAGCAAATCTGAAGATTTTTTGCAATGTTTAGACAAATATGCCAAGATCTGTTATTCTCATTGACTTCTGCCAGAGAAAAGATTAGCTACTGTATTAAAAGTAAACGATGATTGAAAAAGTAAGAGCTTAAATGTCTTCATATTAACACAACCCCTTTGCTTTAGTTCTTCAGTTGTTGTTCTTCAACCCAATAAATGTCACTGTTCTTATTAGTAATATTAAAGTTGAAAATAATTGGTAATTATTTATTCTCTTAATTAATGTCACATTTAAAAAACAAGTAAACAAATAAATCTGGCATTTTAACAGGGCCATGAAGACTTTTCTGAGTCACTGTAAACTGACATTAACAGAGGAGTTGTAAGAAATTAAGATGACAAATTAAATGACACATTGGAGTAAACAAGTGTTAAATTTTACGTTGTAGACATAAACCGATGATATGCAACACTTGGAAGAAGATGCAGCGATGAAAGGTGAGTAGGATGGAAAAAAAAGCCACATAGAGGAGAACGGTAACGTGTCAACTCGGGTTTTTGATATGCTTGGTCTTTTTTCACTGACAATTCATCGACAGCTCCTACAGACTGTATGATGTAATATGACAGCCCCTCTCTTGCTCAATCCCCTGAGATCTGCGAACATGTCTTGCACACTTCTTTGCACTTTGGCGGGTGATCATATCTTAGCAGACGGCCTCTGGCACTCCTACATGGTCAGTAAAATACAGCTCCATCAACCACTTACGGCTTTTGAAGGAGCCTAACTCCTGACCACCAGAGATAATTGGATTCCACCTTGGAGGAGAGGGAAAGGGAGGAGTGTGAATGTACAAGAATGGGGGAAAGGATCAGGACTCTTGGCTTTCCCCAGCAGTGAAATGGTGCTCCATTTTTTGACGGCACTGAGAGTCTGAGTGGATCTTCAGGGTACTTGATTTCTGGGCTTCTCTGATTCGCTTCCATTACAAAAACTACAGTGGCGGCAAAGAGGACTGAAGTTAGGCTGAAAAAGAGAATAATAGGGAGACTAAAATTAATTTTACTCAGAACTCTGAAAGGGAGGACTTTGCTTGTTTTGTGAACAATTTGGTCATTGCTGCTACAGTGCTGACCTGATTTATTGGGACTAGTGTTACTTAATTGGTAAATAATGTTTTGATTGCAAAAACATAAGTTTACAATAAAAACCTTTAAAATAACCCAACATTGTATCTGAGCACACTTAATTGGTGAGGGTAAAACTTCAAATCTTTATTAAAAATCTCAGATCTGATCTCATTATTGGCACCCTTTACTGTCAATACTTTGGACACTCAATTTCTGCAAGCCAGACAGATGCTAGACCTCTGCAAAATATGGACTTTACAAAGCTGGGGTAATAAAAGACAGAGTTATATTTGACCATTTCTTTTGGCACAATTTTCTAGTTCATAAGGAGCCCTGAATCCCAAGAGGATTTAAATCTGATGTCTGACCCAAGTCCTACCCCTGTTGACCATGGAAGCAGTTTGATGTTGTTGTTTGGTTATCAATTGCTGCTTTGGCAAAATTTTTCTGTCAATATTCTGTTGATACAAAATTATGACTTATTCTCAGTCTTCTGCCAGACGTTGACAGATTTTAATTCAAAATGTTGTATTTCCAAGAAACCAAAGTGTCATATCTAACAAGGTTATGAGAACATTCAAAAGATGAAAAAGCCCATAGCATCATGGATCCTCCGCCTACTTTACATTAGGTGGGTCTTTTATAAAAAAAATATGTGACATTACCTAGTTCATTGGATGTAAGTATTTGAAGCCCATGGTGACTTGCCTTACAATGTCTGCAGCAAAGTTTAGAAAACTTTCAACTTTAAGAAGCATAAAGTAAAAATACTTCAGTTGAATCTATTTTAAAGGATTTCTGCTAATACTTTCTCCATCTGTAGTTTTGTTAAAAACACCATTTGACGTGGATTGTTTTTTGTGTAAGAAAGTGTACTCAGATTAAAAGGTGAATTTTCAAATGCGACAATTACCACTGTATTTCAATAATTTAGCTACTCTAAACAGCTAAATTGAATTTTTTAAAACAATTCTTAGCAGCGTGTTTTTTTTACTAATAATTTCATCAAAACAATTAAATTAGGTAAGGATTGATTAACATTCTGCAGACTGATTTGGGGACTTTAGCTGCATTTTGAGAACATTTATCACTATCACTGTAATAAACTGAGAGCTGAAATTCATCACTTAGATTCATTAGGGAACAGTAATTAAGATACATCATTGTTTCAGTTGAAAGTAATTGCTCTAACAACAGTGAGAGGGAAGCAGTATTGTTCTGCACCTTTGAAAAGTTGACTTATGAAAAACTTACTGTAGAAAATTTTTGGTACATTATGTATTAATGTATTTGAAAAATAGTGTGCTGAGACCAAGCTGGAGGCAATTTATTCCCTTGAGAAGAACAGTTTTATTAAGTCATAACTTTTGTTTGGAAGTTTTGGTACAATACTTTTATGACTGTAAATCATTTATCATTTGTGCATCAGACTTACAAATCCTACTGTGTGCTGTCACCACATTTTAATTTATATTTAGATTTTGAAACTATATTCATATCCAGTGATAAAGACTCAGAAGAGATTTATGTAAAACCAAAGTGCTTTTCCACTGATGTTAACTCCAACAAAAACATGTCCAATATTAATCTGCACTTGGTTGGCTGTCCAATAAAGCAGTAACACCTTTGGCCTGTCAAAACATCTTGTGTTTTATCACAAATTCTTCTATGAACAGTAAGCAAGCTTTTGCCTGAGGTAATTCCCCACAGTTCAAAGTGCGCTGACATACTAAGGTTACTAGTGGAAACCATGATGGGTTTTATAACTCAAGACAAACAAACAAGTGTGTAAGTACCAGTGATAAAGTAAAATAATAAAAAAAAGGTGAGGGATCAACACCTACACTGTGCCAAAGTAAAGAGCAATACACTTGTCCTACATCTGCTGCCATGAACAAAGAGGCTGGTATATGCTGATCTGTTTTGCAAAGGTTATCTGAGGCCCAGTATCGGGAAGAACCACAACTTGTTGATGATTACTGTAACCCACTTCTTCCATTCTTGCATGAAAGAGTTGATTTAAATTTAAGTGCAAAACATCACTCATATCTATGAGCTTTTTGTGTTTCCTTGAGATCTCGTAGATGATTTTCTCATCAATATTTCACCATATTTGCATACGAACTTCGAATTTCACATACTTGATTTAGAAGGAAGATTTTTCTTTTGGTAGCTTCAAAAGAAAATTCAAGTTGGGATAGATGAATGAAAGCTGGCCTCCTGTCAAAAATCTTGACCTTTGTGATGAAAAAGGGAACTTTGGTTCTTTTTAACTATTTTAATAAATATATAAATAAAAATCTGCAAAAACATTTGCCTTGTCCAGATCTGACCTGATCCTGCTTTTTCTCTGCATTAGAATGTGGCCAGCCAAGGCATTTAATTTAATACCACTGTGCTCTTTGTAGATATCATTGAAGTTAATTTTTAAGATAAAGAAATGCTATTTACTATGAGTATGAAGTTTAAAAATAGTCTGAAATTTTTAAATACTGTATGCAACCCTAACCGGCTGAGTGACTCATTGACTGACTAAGTGCATTTTGTTTTCTTCTGCCTTTAAACTCTGAAAAGAATAATTTTTTTAAGGAAAAGGATTATTGACATTTTGGTTTGATTTAGAAGCTCATATCTCATCCTCCCACCACCTTCCTTGACATACAGTATGTTCAGGTTAAGTCTTTCTGTTTTGAAGAATTGCATCTGAGGCTCTATTTGACAAAATGGAAAGTTTTTTGCTGTGTGGGTAAATGATGGAGCTCATGTTTGAGTGAGTCAAAGATCACATCTGTGCTTCGGTTAAGATAAAGAAGGCGGCACCTGAAAATAATGGTGCAGCACAGTCTCACTGCAGCATGCAGGTAAGATCTCAGGAAACTGCAGACACACTCCGAAGGGACTTTAAGCAGGTCCCTGTGACCTCTGAGGTCCTCTGGCTCCTCCTAATCCACAGCCTCCTGGTGTAAATTCACACATCAATACACACACACCTACACGCCCGCACGCACACATGCACACCCACGCACACACTCGATCCAACTTAGATTCTTCTCCAGAATGCCCTCCCTGCAGTTTTTCTCTGCAGTCTCTGAGTAATGGGGACAGATGGCTAGCAGCTTCTTGCTGTTTCTTTGGGCTCAACAACCCCCCCATCCCTATCTACAGCAACCCCTGGTCTCCTACAACTGATGGCTTGGTTGTAGAAACTCCCATGGAATAGCAATGTGGACGCTATCTCATTCTCTGCTCGCTGAGGGGTTATGAGGGGGTAGAGGAAGGGTGGGAGGATGAGATGATGGGGGCGGCTAGAGAGGGAGGATTACTGCTGACAGAGGAGAAATGCTGTAGGCTTTCAAGTGAGGACAACCGCACAGAGTTTGTGATGCGGAGTTGTGTCTGTGTGTGTTTGTTGCAGGTGTGCATTCATGCGTGCTTTCCTTTTCTCCTGTTTACTTCTGTGTTTCTGTGGGTGTGTATGATCTCCACTGGGCTTGTCCCTGCCCGAGGTACTGTACTCTACTGTGCAGCATCACAAACAATACTTGTGCGAAGAAGGGCAAACACAGGTAGGAACACAGGAGAGGAGGGGGATCCGACCTTTGAGCAAGCCTATAGCTGACTGTACATACACCAGTACAGTTTTTTATGAATATATTTGCCTTGCAGTGTAATTACAGTATGTTTCAATAGTTGTTCACACTGACCTATTTATGATGACTATCCTGCTGCTTGTTGTTAGCTACAAAACAACTTTAAAAGCAAAACATCATCCAGCAGTAGACAGTGTGAGGGTGAACACTGCTAGAAAAATAATGCAATAAAACAAATGTCAAATATGGTTTGCCTTAATGTTGTTGAACAAACTGCAATACATAAATTAGCACAAAAATGTAAAACAATATCAGAAATTACAAAATATAAATTGTACAGATTAAAAACTGGTACCCTTTCAACGGGTGGGATCACTTGGTCCTGTAGTTTAAATACCATGGCTCTTCAAAACACTAAAGAGATAGCAATATGTACATCTAGGTGAGCTGAATTTGTAAGAGATACATAGAAAACATTGTGTCCATTAAATACATCGCATGATCAAATTAGAATCCTCTTGTTATACATCAATGTAAGGATTTGGTTTTTCTCTGCGTTAAGTTACATTTCTATATGTTGTTTTTTCAGTTTATTGAGTCTCCATGTTGTCCTGTCTACCCCTTGACTGTTACCAGCTTTGTCTCGTTGCCTGATTATCCTCTCTGTATTTAATGCCACCTGTGTTCCATGTTCTTTGTTGGGTCCTTGTCGTATCTGTCTTGTCAAGCTGTCTGGCTACGTCTGTTGCTACCATCCATTGAATTTGCAGTTGCTACCAGTTTTTTTGAGCCTAAGCCTTCTGCTTTTTATCTGTGCTGCCTGGATTTTGGATTGTTGTTTTTTTCTGAATTCATCATTAAATCATTGTTTATTTTCTCTCTGGGTCCTCAGCGTCTGCCTCACCACCTCACACTGCGCAACATCACAATCAATACTAGTCGTAGATTTCACTCTATCCAAAGCTTTTTATTTCAATTTTGTACAATTTAAAACCAAATAACATCAAATATTGAACATTAAACCCTGAACCGTAACATGTATTGTGTTTGCAGGACTGTAGTTCCAAAATCACAGAGAAGACATCCTAGCAAAGGATAGTGAGGGGAGCTGAGAAATTTAGTGGACTCTATCCTCCGTTCAAAGGTTAATGTAGATATAGGAACATAAATTTTGCCAGAGTCCTCTCTCTCTTTCCAACGAAACAGTTCCCATCAGGCAAACCACACAGCAGCATCTAAAGCTGAACCATTAGACTGCTTCACAGGTTTCTGTCTTCAGTTGTTAAAAAGTTGTAGTTGGATGAGATGAAGGAACACATCCAGGACAGGTTGCTTACCATCATAGGGTAACATAGAGACACACAACCATGCTTATGCACTCACACCCAAGGACAATTTAGACAGACCATTTACCCAACAGTCATGTTTTTATACTCCCAATTAGAGCTGTAAAGTCTTTACACTTGACACTTTCCAGAGGCAATGCAGAGATTGTTTTGTCTCAGTCTGAACTGATAACAAAGATGTGAGCTTGTATGCTAGAAAAACTGCACTCATAATATCATGAATTCAAACATATCCAGAAGCAAAAACAGTCAGATTTCGAGCCCGAAGTGGCTATGCGGCCAGTGCAGTGCAGGCTGAAAGGGTGGATGAAGACAGATGTCGACAATTATAGGTGGTGCAGTGGGAATAATTATATGTAATGTGCGGGTATTCAGGACAAAACATTAGGAGAAATGCAAAATGATTTAGGCAGGGGACAGAATAAACAGTTAGATTTAAGAGAGATGACACAGGGACAAAGGATAAAGAGATGGACGCAAGCTGAATACTGATAAGCCTGCTGGTTGGAAAAGAAAGCAATGATAGATAAAGGCCAGGGTGTTAACATAAGATATCTGGATATAACAACAAGAAAACGAGAATCAGTAGCTTACATTTCTGGTCCTTCCATGTGACTGTGGGCTCCGGCCGGCCGACAGCCAGACAATAAAGGTTTACATTCTCTCCCTCATTCACTGACACGCTTTTTGAGATGTTTACGATTCTTGCTGGCACTGAAAAACAAGATTTCACCATTAAAACCCGACCTCAAAGTCACCTTTCCCACTCATAAATTATTGATAAGGCTTGGCCTTGCAGTTTATTAAGGTGTTAAGGTCTTTGCGTTTCAGACAGACAGGGAATCAGCTGATTAATGATCGAGCGTGGGTGCTTACTGAACTGTGCAACAATATGGTCGACCATCTACTTAAAATGTAATAGATCTTTAAGCTCCTGCGAATGAACATTAAAATGCCCTCCTTCTAACATTTGATCTCATTTTATCCTTAGCTGGAAAGAACATCTATTAGGTTACTCACTTGTTGGAGGAGTTTTTTTCTTGTATTTCTTTAACATAATAACCCTAAACTCAAAGTACTGGTGCACTACATATGTTCATAGTCTGATATCATGATGGACCTTGAATTTAAATGACCGCGTATCATTATTTTTAATGAGCTTGGCTCAGAAATTTGTATCATCAACTGAGGATTTTCATGTTATGTCTTTCTGGAGTGGAAAGTTTGCAGTGATAAAGCACAGATTGCAGTGCTGCTACTGCTTGGGGGTATAATTATTTTGTGTACCACCAAGCTCCGACTTCAATTGGAGGAAACTTGGAACTGAACATAAACAGTTATCCTTGCCAGCTTTCAGATCCTGCAGACATAGATGCTTTTAAATGTGTTAGTAAAGTGGCTTATATTCACCTGTGACCAACCCTTCATTTATATTTAAGCAAAATGTAACTAATAGAGCTATCAGCAGTTTTATTCTGCTAGTAATGTATCACTATTATATCAATATAGCAATTTACCAGACCATAAACTGTAAATAGGAGGTGTGAGGCCCTCCTGGCAGTCCTGCATCAATACTTTGTGTCACTCAAGATCAGTCAGTTTCACTACACTGAGTTGCTGACGTGATGACTTAGCCTCAGTCATGAGTCTGCGCTGACAGTCACTGTATTTAGTCAGACAGTTGGACTGCCTCCTGTGCATTTAATCTACTCAACACAGATGCTCATTCATTCGAAGCATGCCCAAAGTTCTGTTCACAGTTAATGGAAAGTTAGCAGGCTATAGAAACTAATAAGAAATGCATTTAAGTTCTTCTACAGGACACTTTCATGTTCCGTGTCACCTACTATGCTGTTTTCTGTTAGTAATTATAACCTAAATATTTAAATCATAACGATACCATTTATAATTTAGTTTAGTTGAAATATTTCCATTGGTATGAATTTATTATTATCAGAAAGCTTATTTTTCTGGTCATAACCTGTCTTCCAAGTGCAGTTTAAAGATTTTCAATGAGGTTGAGATAAATATCAGGATGTTTAAAGCAGTTTTCCATTTAAAAAACAAATTAATGTGTATTTACTTTACACTCAGCAGTTACTGTCAGTGTTTATGGGGCGGCTAGAGAACTCTGGTAGTAATGACCTCCTTGACTTTAAGAAGTGAAGCTTGGAATTTGAAACTTACAAATACTGTATTATCTATCAAGCATGAGGGCAGTTTATTGAACTATGTATTAGTTTAGATGTCATTTATACTAGCAGAAGTAGTTGACATAATGGATAAAGATGGCCACATCTAAATTTTTCAACTTAACTTCAACTTCTTGCCAACATGTTGAAAACATGAATCCCAAACTCACCAAAAAGGTTTTAGGATGGATAAAGCAAGCTAAAAACTAACTTCTAGAATGATCCAGACTTCCACCCTATCAAAAATGTGTGAACTTTTCACAAAAGTTCAGTCCCTTCCTGTCTACCAACCAATTAAAAAAAAACTTTAGGATTGCTGATAAGACTGACCATAAATGCTGAGTTGTTTGATGGTAAATTGCTGAGGGACATTTGATAACTGATCAGATGGGTTTGTGTGCATATATTTTGAGTTTACTTTACACACGTTTTCAAATAATAGAAAAAATCTGTAATAAATTATTTCCATCTTATAAACTTACTATATTTGTATAACTACTGCCTAAAATTGCAGTACACATAAAAAAATGCAGACTCCAATTGCATCAGTCTGTTAATCATTTATTGCATTTAACTGCCACACATTAAAATTCAGTTGTCTTGTCTCAGCTGCTGACCTTGGACTATGAGGTAGACGTGGGTGATGCGGGGTTTGTTGTTGGCCTGAAAGGTGCAGGTGTACGGTCCCTCGTCTGTTACTTGCACCTTGTTGATGAGGATGGAGAACTCCCTGCTGCTGGTGTTGACCAGCGTCACTCTTTTGTCCAGGGACCACTTATCTGTCCCCGTGAAAAGGATGTTAGAGCGGTTCAGCCAAGCTTTGTGGGTCACTTCCTCGTCGATCCGACATCTGTTAGACAGCATAATGTGATTTATAAGTGGCAGGATTTTCACTTCAAAACACAACATCTAACAGCAAAATGATTACCTTTCTTGCTTAATACATTGTACATAATCAAAGCTTCAGAGGATAAACAAATATATAAACAAATATATATATATATATTAAGAATATATGCTTTTCTAAATGTTCATCAGCAACATTTAGAAAATGTTTTGGTCTGGGAACAGGCTGCCAATTGAACTTAGGTCTCAACTTTAACTCCATTTAACATGTTTATCTTTTAAGACTGCCTAATACTTAACATCCATATCTGTGACCAGGTTTTCTGTTCCTGTTGATGAAAAGCATCACAATCATAATGTGGCCTTATTCATCAGTGGCCACATTGATCAGTTGATGATCAATGTGGCCACTGATCATCAACTTCTCATCATTCATCTACAAATCCCAGAGTCTTGGAGTGCATAAACAAAAAAAGTCATCCTGTCCACAGATTGTACCACCTTAGTTGCAGCTCTCTGGAGCGTGTCACAATTACTTCTCTGGTAATAAGTGAGTTGAGCTGCAGTATTTCTATATGCAAAAACAGCATTAAGCAGTGCTCCATGAGGTCTTCACAATTTTTACCATAAAAATGTAGTTTCTTTCCACTTCATAACTGTGTTCAATTTTGTGTTGGTCTATTACATATAGCAAATATAAAATTAATTAAAAGTTTGTAGTTGCAACATAAGGAAAATGTCAGGAGCTGTATGAAACAGATTGTGTTTATAATGTATGCTTGGACAGGTTTCTGCAAAACTTTTTAGTATTGCAGAAGAACCCGACCTCCATTCTTCTAAAAATAACCCTTCTGTTGCTGTTTTGATGAGAATGAGTGAGCACTCTTTGTTCATGAAAGAAAAAATGCTGTGACTGCAAAGGAAACAGCACATCATTTACCTCATTATCATTCCCATCAAATCATTCAATGACCCTATCTGCTGAAGCAGCAATACTTTGTCTAGCTAAATTTTTTTTGCAACCTTTTTTCTTTAATTTGTCTTTAACTATTCTGCAATGCACTCAGCGTTTTATTTTATGTTTTCTCCAGGAGAAAAGGGATTGAAGTGATAACACATTTAGCTGTCTAAGAGCCGTCATATGTCAGAAAACAGCTTGTGAGCAACACATGGCACAAGAAGAGGCTGTATAACATTGTTCGAAGCTCCGTGATTTGTTTTGTCGGGAAGCAAATTTAGAAAACCTATTTGGTCTACAATTTAAGAAAGTAGTTTTCCTCCCTAAATTAAAGTTAACAGCAATAAATTGAAAAATCTGTCAAACACTGAGAAGTAATGTAACACTTTTTGCTGGAGCTCTGTAATTTTCTTTTGTTTTGTTGTGCAGCCAGACACAAAGTCCAAACCTTTGACATCTAGTGCTTAGCTTGGCCACTAGATGTCCTTAACCAGCTTCAACTAGTAAGAAACCAGCATTCTGAAGTCCTCATGTGTAATTGATATGACCTGGATAAATATATCTGAGGTAGATCACTTGCCAACTAACAGGCAGTGACACAATGCATAACAACGAGAGTACAAGTGAGCTTGGAAGTCTTCAACAAACAGACTGCAAGGCACTGATCTGATGTTCAGGTCAACATGAGCCCTAAAAGCACAGCGTTCTTATCCCACTCATAAAGATTAGTACACTGTTTGTAGCTTGTGGGTTTAAATGGAGAGACAATCTAGTGATAAATCCCTCTATAAAAGTCATTATCTATGTACACACATCGCCTAATAATCTATTTTTAAAATTAATCACTTCTGCACTGATGCTGTTGCAATGAGACTGCATGCCCAGAGGAAATGAGCGCCATAATAACATCAACTGAGCCTCATCTTAATGGGCCGCATCAAAGCCAACACAACAGCGTTGTCTTAGGCATAACACAAGTATTAGTGCCACTTGGGCATAAGCAATTTGCATGAAAATAAAGCAGTTAAGTCTTTTGTTTAACAGCTATGCACTGACCAACACAGACTATAACCAAACAAATATGTTTTCATTATAAGTTGCGCTGATTAATCCATGTTGCAGTCATCAACTCTAGAAATATAGTTCACGCTTAATAATAAAGTTATTGAAAATGTAAGAATAACTTAGAATGAAAGAGAAAAATATCACACTGACAGAGCAGATTCTGTTGCCTTAGTTTGTGCTTAACATAAACCTCATGTATTTGACTTCACAACATCAATAAAGCAGCTTCAGGCTTCATGTCCTGATGACAATATAGATCTTGCTTCTTTGATTTCCAACTTTGGTGGAGACTTGCTGATGCTGACAAATATTGACAGAATTGTACTTGGCTTCACAACACCATGTTTGATTTTAAAGTAAGGCTGACTCTTCTTTCAAGGGAAAAAGCCTGGTACTAAAAGACAAATTTGTTCATATTTGTTAGAGATGTGAAGACTCAAAGGTGATTTAAGTAATGTTGACTGAGGTCTTTTTGGTATTGCTGAGTGTACTGCCAAGCCAGGTCACAGCCTGGGGAAAAAAGCAAGTTGGCTCTTTTCCTCCCCTCAGCTGGGAGAAAGGGAAAGCTGTGATTTCTACTTCATCACGCACAGTAAGATAGGTGTGGTTTGGACAGAGAGGCTGTTCACTCATCCATGGACAAGGACAAATTTATTGACTCCTGAGAAGGATGGGCCAAACACTCTAAAATAAATTATTTGTTATGGCAGTAGCATAGTATCACACTAAAACAAAATCCAACAATTTATTTAAGGAAAAAGTATCCAGAGATGAGAAAATAGTTTTTGATAAAAACACCATAGGCATTTTATGAAATCTTCCTTAAGGCATAAATATTACACAGTGCAAGATGAGTGCATCTTGTACTGTAAGTTATTCTTATAAATTGAGTTTGCCGTGATCAGGATAGTGAAGCTGCTGTCACATTTTTATCTTGCTGTGCATGTTGGCATACCTCAAAACAAGTCTTAAATGCATAAAACGTGTGGAAATGAAATTATGTGGAGCGTTAAGTCCTGTCATGTCAACTTGCTTGTACTGAATATTGTTGCGTTCTACTGCGTCAGGTAAGAGAAATGTAATTTGTCTTGTTGTTGCAATCTTCTGTTGTTTCCTCGGAAGACACTATGAGCTGAAGATGAAAGCTCATAGTCAATCAGCATCTCCAAGTGGTCAAATAAATATTAGTTTGCCTAGTTAAAAAGTACATCAGAATGCACTTTGACTCACTCTGAGCATTTAGCATGGCATGATGAGTGAATCTGCACCAGTACACAGAATAACTGTGCATAGCACATCTTAATATTGTGCTATGCTTTTTGTCAGTTTCACAGTGGTTTATATCAGTTCAGGATTTGGATGCATATGCCAAAACATTTTGCAGCATGTCTAAAATAATCTTCATAATTTGACTTAGTTGGTAAGTAAGGAAGCGGAAAGTAGGTAAAGTTTATTTATAAAACATTTTTTCCTGAAGCAAAGTCACAAAGTGCTGTACAACATAAATAAAATGTGAAACAAATATAAACATATGCAATTGTTTTTTGAAAGCACTGATGGAGTTTGCAAAACAAAGTTTCAGGGTCAGACTGTTTCATAGCTTAGGAACTACAGACGGAAAGGCCCAGCTTAACTTTGTTTTTTCATCTAATAGGAGGAAAAACCAGGATATCCAGGGCAGGCACAAAAAGAAACAACTAGCTCTGTTTGTGGTTAAAACGAAAGACATATACAGTAGATTACTATGAGCCTGGCCAGTTAGGGCCTTGTGAGTGAATCAAGGTGTTTTAAGCTTCTGGGATCCAGATAGTAAAATCTGAAGTGATATGAGTGTATTCATTAAACTTGGAGAGAATTCTGGTTGTTGTGTTCTGAATGGATTGCAGATAAAACTGATGATCTCAGTGGAAGCGTGATGACAGAAATGCTTAATAAATGTTACCGAGATCCACTCCAGAGACCATATGTTAGAAATATTTCTTAAATAAAAGAAGCAGGGAGGAGAAACTATTCAGATACAAATCAAAGTGAAGAAATGAATCAACTCTAATTTCTTGCATTAGCCTTAGCTACTGCATGAAAAAAGCTAGTATGTGACAGATTTAAGACTGTAGATTACTGGTGCTTAAACCAAAAAAAAAAAAAAAAAAAAAAAAGACTGCTGAAGAGCAAGTCAGTGATCTGAGGGTGGACAGTCTATCCCACCAGGATGGTTTGAAAAATGTACACAGTTGGATGTCATCTGCATAGATATATCAGGAGATGTAAGATGCATTTATTTCAAGACATTCAGCTCATCTTTACACATTAGTGTTGCCTATAAATGAAGTTGGCACTTGAATTTAAAAGTTTAATATCATTCAATTAGCTGCGCAGAGAAAGCTAAAAATAATTTCACATTTTAGGACTTCAAACTGAGGTTATGAGACACAGACTTGGCAATTAAAGATGCATGACAGGCGGTAGAAAGGCAAACATGTTTTCTTATGTAATCAGTTGGTGCAGGTGTGGGACCAGGAGTTACCTCAAAGTGACGCTTTCGCCTTCCAACACTGTAATGTTGTCCGGCAGGTGGCTGAATTCTGCTCCGAGCACATTGGACCCTGCCAAGAGAAATGAGAGAAGAGTGCAATGAGCATCCAATAATGACAACAGACGCTCCACGGCTGCTCATCAATCTCAGCTCAGGTGCTTCAAGATTCAAAACCTCAACAAGTAATCTGCAGTACGGATGTGTCCTGCATCCTGCTCACTTACTTCTGAAGGAAAAGTAATAGCTATACAAAACAAAAAGAGAGCCTTAACGTCTGCACTGACCCCCGTACTTGAATAATAATTCGGTTTTACCCAGTATTCTGGTGGGATGTCGTTCATTGAACAGCACTGATAATGAGCCAAGGGAAAAGGATTCACGCGAATCTGCCGGAGCGTGAAATGAAGGGACAGGAACGGTAACAGAAGGGATGCTCATCCTGCCTACCAATACACACACAGAACCGGAGCACATGCATGGAAAAGCACAAACGTATACTGTATCACCAACTCTCACAAGAACAAACACATTCTGGAAGCCATTAGCTGAAGTGGAAAAACAAAGTTGGCATCTCTGAGTGTCTTAGTCAGGCAAAAAAGAGAAAAGATTTAAATAGTTGGCATAAATTCTGTGCTAAAATTCATTGAACTGCAAACAATTAGAGACAAAACATTCATAAAATGGGTGTGATGTTGTATGCCAAAAAAAAGTAGCTCCCCTGTAGGACAGGTGGCACTCTTTATTCTAACTTTGCTGAAACACAACGGAACACTGAATATGCTGGCTCATGTGCTCAGGCAATCTTTGATAATCTTTTATTCCTTCTTCCCATAAGATGACCTCAATATCTCAATAGGCTTTTGCTGGGACCTAGCCTTGAGGTTTAATAAATGGTGACTTTATGAAATAAAGCTGCTGCGCTGAAGTGTTAAGAAGCACCTCAAGGTTTGTTAAGTAGAAGTCAGCGACACGTTCAGCATGGCAGATGAGAACCTGCTAAAGATGAAAGCCAGAAGTAATGGCAATGCACATCTAAGAAGATGAGAACTCTGCGTTTTAAATTAGGCATGGGTTTTTGAGGAATCATTATATGATTACACAGAATAATGAGAGAGGGTTTCATATTATAATGGGCATCTTGCATCAGTAATCAAAAGGTTCTTAAAAGCATAATAAGAAGTACTGCTTCTGATACTAAAGAACAACTTATAATTTCTTAATAAACACAACCTATTCCTTGACATCGGGACCACAAAACGACAGTATAATACCTTGTATAAGTACCTTCACCCCTCAAGCTTTTTTACAGAAAAAGGAAGCTGTTTAGAATTGATGGGGAAGTTGAGCGAATCACAGGGTAATTATGGAAGAATACCCATCAGAAGGTAAAACAGACATATCTAAAACATCACAACACAGAAGGTATTAATGTGAGGGGTCTAAATACAAATCCAGACCACACAGATTTCATCTACATCGAATCTATCATTATGCTTCGATTCAAATTATATAACAATACACTGCTGTTTTCAGTTGCATTGTGACAAAATGTGAAAAAAAAAAACATTTGACTACTTTTGTAAGGCAGCGTAGATGCTTAAAATGAAAAAAAAATGTTAGGGAATAAACATAAAGGAGCCAGGAGATACATTTTCTATCACCATAGTAAGATTGTTTACAACACAGAGTGAGTGAGAGTGTGTTTTCCAAAGTGTCATGCTGTCAACAGATAAAAACAAAGGTTGGGTATGTGTGCGTGGGAAAATGGTGGTGGAACGGAGGAAACAAAAGCTTGAGGAGAAGCTTCATGGTGAGATTTTATGGCTCTTTTATGTTTTTGTAAATGTAAATTAGGTTTGTCAAGCCTTTATGGATGGAGCGTGGTACTGAAGGCTATATACTTGCATGTGTAATTGTATATTCATGTGTGGAATGACTTGTGTGCGTTTCATTCCGTGTGATGCTCATGTCAGATGCTGGGAGTGATTGTGTATATTCTTGTTTGCGGACATACCAATAGGGAGAAAGAAAACAGGACAAACTAATGACTCCTCGGAAGAAAATTGGCCCTGAAAATCTCTCACTAAAAGCTGTAATCGCATTAATGGGTGCTGCTGCTGTTGCTGCTGCTATCTAGGCCGGCCAAAGATCTGAGAACTGGCTCCAACCCCGAAAGCCTTGAAGGAGGGGCATGGTACATTAGCAGCTGCGTTTGACATTCAAAAATGCTCACAAGTTTTTGGTTTTCTTTCTTTTAATATTGTGGAATAATCCTGCAATACTTCACCAGAGCTCATCCTTCCTGCTTTTTAGTCGTCAGCTGTCTTTCAGCTGTTACCTTTAAAGTGCTCCGTACTCCACACACCAGGCTTTATTTGGGTTAATTTAATTCAGTTCCAGAGCTTGGAGACACGTGTGACACGCTGTCATAAAAACATCTCACAGATGCAATTATAGCCACAGACTTAAAGAAAAGATGATCCCTGTAATAAAATATAACGCTGGGGCAAACACAGTCTACACACACACACAAACACACATGTGCACTTGTTTTGCTAGAATGAATGATAAATGCAAACTCCAAACAACACTGCGAAGGTTACAAACCAGCAGGGAGGCTATTCCCATTTCCCTACTCAATTCCCATCTTCGCAGCTCGATTGGCACCTCAAATTCTAAGACATGCGCCACTCAGTCTCCTCTCTTCCAGGTGCTGCATGGCATGATAACCAGGTCAACATATCTGCCACGTACTCCTCTTTCTCACACTGAATCACTGGACAAATCACAGACAAGCCTGTTTGAATACACACAAAGAATGACGCAAGCTGTCACACGTGAAAGAATCCACTGTGACATCTAAATCAGAAAAGTTTCCCTACATATTTCTTATTGAAACTAAGACACATACACACATATACTTTTATGTGAAAACCCCCCTCAATGATTCATGCACTCACCTGCAGCACTATATAACTCCTGACCTCTGCCACTCTCTCTCAGTGCATCAGTGAAACAAGACCTGTATTTCAGCAATGGGAAACCACCTCTGTCCTCCCACAAAGGTGCCCTATGAAAAATGCTGGGATTTCAGTAACTTTTGTACCTGGGATTTCCTTACAAAGTATCATGCAGATCCGTTGTGAAGTTTACATGGACTGATCATGGAAAAAGTCACAGATTAGGTCTTAAATAAACAGTTTGAACCAATTTAGGATACTATTACAACAGGACAAATATACAATAATTACAATTAGCTTGGCAGGTGTATGTTGCAGTGATAAAATCATTGAACACAAGAGAGATAAGCATGCTGCAAAACCATTTTTTTTCATATTTAACATCATACAGCTACAGAGTTCTGCATTTTTATAAATGGTTTTTGTTGTTGGTCCTCAATAGAATTGAAGAACCAATGATAAAAATAAACACAGTGTTAAGGTTAGATTTTTATACAAGCTTTTAACTGGAAAGGGGAATTTTACAGATATGCTTATGAGACAGAATGACCTGAAAGCAATTTATTTAGGTAGGAAAAACCCCTTGAAGTCAGTAGTTTGTAAGAATGTAAATTTATTAAAGCTGAATATTTACATCAGAGACAGTGTGTGAGAAAAAAAAAAAAAAAAAAAAACTTTGCTAATGCTCTATTTTCTTGTCAGAGTGAATTAATGCACAAGAGTTATTGCTTGCATAGGATGGTTGGTCAGTGCATTCAGGCTGGTCAGTGACCTTGTAGGAGGCGTACCTCACCTCTGTTGAAGATAATCACCATACCCTCATGCCTGCAAGGTCAAGCAGGTAAACACAGAGGATGGATAGATGATCCCATGGCATCCTTAGATGGAAAACATACCAACTTGCCTTATGATCTGAATTTGACTAGAATCTAACTGAAATACAAATTATATAACATTTATTTTATATTTTCCCATGCATTGGTACTATGTACATAAACTGAGTTAAATTGTATTGAACATTCATCAGGCAGTTTGATATTGTTTTATTTATGTGGTATATCGCTGTAACAGAAAATACAATAAAAAGGCAAATACTGAGATGGCAGCTGAAGATGTACCAAATAATATTATATAATTGTTTTTGCCCAGAGTTGTTTATAGGTTCTCTAAATTAATAAGAAATATTAACTAACTAGGCAGTATAAAACAATAGGTAATCATAATTTGACTGAATGACAGTGTGCAAACCAACATTTGTCAATCAAATTGGCTGCACATTACAAGAAATATGAAGAAGTGAAGCACTAATGAGGCCAGACAGCAGCCACCAGTTTCATACTGCAAAAGCAAAAACATCTCTGTCACCTTCAGCAGTCTTTTTGTTTTTTGAGCCTTAGATCAATGTCTTAAATTCTCATGCTCCCTGCTCTCTCCTGGGTTTGGCAAACAGGCTGAACTGCACCCACCAGGATGATTCAGGAGTCTTGGCCACCAAAAGGGAGTATGCTTGCCAACAAGGAAGCTTAAACCATCACTCTAAATGGGGAAACACAAAATGAAAAGACTGTTTTCTTTGCTATTTTATTACTCTGAAAACAAAACTGAGAGCAAAAACCTGGTGAGTCAACATTTAAAAAATGTCTGACAACAAATGATAAATACCAATGCAGAACAGAGCTGGAGAATGTTTCTGCCGAACACCGCAGTGGCCTCTCATGTTGTTGCCCACCAACATATTGAATTTCCCTTCTTGCTGCTGTCTACAGAAGATACAGTCTGGTTTGGCGAATGGTATCTCTTGTCCTTGCCATGACCTGCTTTGCACACAAATGGAACCTCCTACAGTGGCGCACCCACAGACAGGCACAAATGCTCACATTCAGCAAAGCACCTCAAGTTTTTATCTGCACTAAGTTACGAGCCTCAAGCCTAAATTTGACATCATTAAAAAAAGCCGGGATAGCAGGTAAATAATAATGCAGATTATTATTCACTGTAAAGCAAGTTTTTATTGGTTATTCAGCTCTGCTATACACAGCAAAAGCAAAAACATGCTTGGCTCATCTGACGATAATGTTTTATCTGTCACTGACCTAGACATTCACCCATT